CCGTGTCCTGCCCTGCCCTGACCTGTCCCCCCTGGCCAAATCATCTGCGCAGCCTCAGGTCGTGTCTTCTGGGGACTCTGCATGTCTTGGGGAGCCGGGCGGACGGGTGGCGGTTGCAAGGGGCGGGCACCGGATAGGGCTCACGTCCCCGGACGGCGCAGCTCTGGACTTTCACGTCGTCCAGGGCTCGACGCGGAGCAACCGCTCACCTGCCGCGGGCGACCGGGGAGGGGGTGGGCGGGCAGGTGGTGGAGAGCGCCAGGGCCGCCGTCCCTCGGCCCCATGGAGGCCTGCGCGAGCAGGGACGATAGCAGGGATAGGAGTAGGGACAGAGGCAGGGGCAGGGACAGGAGCAGGGACGGGCAGGGATGGGCAGGGACAGGAGCAGGGACAGGGACAGGAGCAGGGTGGATAGGAACAGGGACAGAAGCAGGGACAGGAGCAGGGACAGGGACAGAGCCAGGGCTAGGAGCAGGGACGATTTGGGCAGGGACACGAGCAGGGACAGAAGCAGGGACGGGCAGGGACAGGAGCAGGGTCTATAGGAACAGGCACAGAAGCAGCGACAGGGGCAGGGACAGGAGCAGGGACGATTTGGGCAGGGACAGGAGCAGGGACGGGCAGGGACAGCCAGGGCTAGGAGCAGGGATGATTTGGGCAGGGACAGGAGCAGGGACGATAGGAGCAGGGACAGGAGCAGGGATGATAGGAGCAGAGACAGGAGCAGGGACGATTTGGGCAGGGCCAGGAGCAGGGCCAGGGGCAGGGACAGCCAGAGCTAGGAGCAGGGACGATTTGGGCAGGGACAGAAGCAGGGACAGGGGCAGGGACAGGAGCAGGGACAGGGGCAGGGACAGGAGCAGGGACAGGGGCAGGGACAGAAGCAGGGCCCAGCGCTGGAATGGCCTTCCCCAGATGGCGTGAGAGCAGGGCCACAGCAGGGGCCACACGGCACACGCCGCCCTCCGCCCCGGACCCTCTGCGTGGGGCCCAGACGTGTTCCAGGAGCCCGGCCCCCAGAGCGTGCCGCCACCAGGCAGCTGAGGGGCCGTCCCAACTGCGTGTCCTGACGCTGCTCACGCCGTGGCGCGGAAGCCCGGCGCACGTTCATCCCGTCCTGCGACATCCCCACCCTGTGACCTCCCGGGCTTCATACCAGCTCCCCTGTGGTCAGCCCATTGTCGGCCCCGTGGTTGGCCCGTGGTCAGCCCTGTGGTCAGCCCACCCGTGGTTGGCCCCGTGGTCAGGCCCATGGTCGGCCCCGTGGTCAGCCCGTGGTTGGCCCCATGGTCGGCCCCATGGTCGGCCCCATGGTCGGCCCTGTGGTCAGCCCACCCGTGGTTGGCCCTGTGGTCAGGCCCATGGTCAGCCCTGTGGTCAGCCCGTGGTTGGCCCCGTGGTCAGCCCTGTGGTCAGCCGCTGGCCTCACCTCCCGGGACCCCCCAGAGCTGCGCCCTGCTGAAGTCCCCGCGCCCGGGCCTGGCGCGGAGCTGGAGGAGAGGCCTGGGTGGCGGGTCCCACTCTCCCGTTCTGGCGGGAAGTGCCGGGCGGGGCTGCTCGCAGACTCCGGCCAGGCGCGCGGGGCCCTGGCGCCTCCCGCCCCGCTTGCGTCCCTGCCAGCCGCAGGGAGCAGGCAGAGTCTGCGGGCCAGAAACCCGACGGGTGGGACGGCAACCGGCCCGTGACCCCCCCAGACGGCTGTGCGGGCCGCAGGCTCCCTGGGAATTCGGCGTTTCGCTACAACAGAGCGAGCGGGAAACCGAGGACGCCCTGCACCTCCTGACAGGGACCCGCCCCGGCCTGGCGCGGGCTGAGCTTGAGAGCCGCTCGCACCCGCACGCCCCGCAGCGCCCGGGCGAGGTCCAGGAGCCTCCCGGGACCCTCGCCAGCTGCTTTTGGGACAAGGACCTCGAGGAACACCCGGCAATGCCCCACGAGGGCCCGGGGGTCCATGACCGGAGTGTTCTCTGCACAACCACGGCGGCTTCAGGACGCCGGGCCGCGGCAGGGGCCTCGCCCACCCCTGCTGTGCTGCTCCGCTGTCGTGCTGGGCCAGACCGAGAAGTCGCCACGGGCCTCCCCCAAGTCCCTGGGGGCCCAGCGCCGTGGGGCTGCGCGGTGGAACATGCCGGAGCTGCAGCCGCGGGAGGCTGAGCACACGGCCAGCGATGGGGGCAGGGCCGGGCCCCAGGCTGGCGCACGAGGCCACGGAGCTGACGCGATGACCGCTCTGTGCTTCCTCCCCAGAGTCTGAGGATCCGGGGAAAGACCCGCGGAGTGACGTGGAAGACTCCAGCTGGTAAGCGCGGCCTGGCGTGGCGGGCCCAGGCGCAGCCCTGGAAACCCAGGCGCACGGGCTGTGGGTGCCGGAGACCCGGGAGGGGCCTGGGGTCCCCCAAAGACCCCACCCTAGGGCTGGACGGGGGTCGGGGAGAAACATCCGGAGAGGGACCCAGCCAGGGGCTCTCGCGACTGCGCCCCAGTGGCCCTCCTGGGGACAGGTGCAGTCGGTTGCCGCGAGGGGCAGCTCCAGTGGCTTCGGTGGGGGCTGGGCGCCCGCCTGCTCACGCCACCTCGCTGCGCCCGGTCTTGTCTGCCCGCGCACCCTCCCGCCATATCGGAGTAGGGGACAGTCACCGGGCCACCAGGGATTTTTCTCAGATGCCAACAAGACCGGTTCCCAGCAGCTGCAGCAGGGCCCAGGCGGGGCCAGTTCCCCCCCCCCCTGGTTCACAGACGGGTCCCCTGCGGGGCCACAGAGGGACCTGGCCCCGGAGTCCCTGGCGGATGAGCGTGAGGTGCCACGTGTCTGCGGCGGGTGTCTCAGGCCAGCCTGGCGCAGCTCCCTGGGGAGCCCGAGGCAGTGAGCTCACCGTGGCCAAGTCGGGCCCGCAGCCCCCAGAGCCGGCGGCCGGGGTCCTGCCGTCCTCCCGGGCTGCAGGCTCCTGCACACCTGGCCATGCCCGTCCCGCCCCGTCCCGCCTGGCACCCTCGTGGGGGCTCCGGTGTGTGCCACGGGGTGGCCACGTCCCCCCCAGAGCCAGCTTTGGCGCCGCCTTCCGCGCAACCCAGGCTGGCCGTGCACACCTTGGTGCCGGGGCAGCAGCGGAGGGCAGTTCCGGACGGCCTCCTCCCGCCCAGACCGTCCCTGCCAGGGGACCCGCGGCTCAGGCCCCTCTGCCCGGGGAGGCCCTCCCGGCGCACGGCCCCGGGGCCCCGTGTCCAGAGCGGCGCCCCCAAGCCGGCGTGTCCCGTCTCGTGCAGCCAGGCGGAGGCAGACGCAGGAGAGAAGGAGGAGGGTGACCTTGCACAGGCAGAGCCCGCGGCGGGAAGAACGGAACCGGAGCCTGAGAAGGGTGGCCCGGAGCCCAGCGCCACGGGGGAGCCGCAGGGCGAGCGCGGCGAGCAGTGTGGCGGGGAGGCCAAGGTCAGGTCGCGCCCGGCTGCCGCGGCAGAGCCCTGCCCCCTGCCCCCGAGCCCTGCCTCTGTTTACCTGGTCGGTGTCTTTGGGCTTGCAGGAGCCGGAGCCTGAGTCCGTGAAGCTGAAGGACCCGGAAAAAGAGGCAAGTGCTCTCTGCCATGGTGGCACCAGTGGGATGGGGAGGCCCGTCCAGGCGCCAGTCCCGCCGGCCACGAGCCTGCCACGGACCGTGGCGGGGGTCATCTCAGCAGGCGGGGAGCTGAAGGGCGGGCCGAGCCCTACGCTCTGTGCCCACGGCGGCGTCCGCGCCTGGCTTGCCAGACGCTGCGGCCACCGGCAGTGCGTGGGGGCTGGGAGGGGGGACCTCGTGTGACCCTGAGACGTGGCAGAGACATGGCGGTGCTGAGCTGGGCTCCCCGGGCACCCGATGAGGGAAGGCGGCTTCTATTCTCCTCCAAGCCTCGTGCAGGGGCAGACACGGAGCTGGCCAGGCTGTGACACAGACGTCCCTGCTCCAACTCTGGCTCTGAGAAGCCCTTCACCCCCCAGACACGTCCCTGGGGTTGGCCAAAGTGCTGCCACCGGGGACACGGTCCAGCCAGCCGAGGTGCCCAGTGAGAGGCCCAGGGCGGCGGCTGAGCCCCGGGGCATCCACGCCTGGGTGGGAGTCCCGACTACCTGGGTGCCGGTGTGGCCCGTGGTTCCGTGGGTGCAGAATCCACGCGCCGCCCCGCTGAGCAGGGCTGGGGGAAGGGGTCGCCCCAGCTCTGGGCCTTGCCCCGTGCCCGGAAGCCCTGGTCCCAGAGGGCACGGGTGGAGGGCGCCTTCCAGGCTGCCAGGGCTGTGGTGGGAGGAGAGTGGAGTGGGGCGAGAGGGCTGAGTCCTCCCAGGACAGCTCCCGGTGCTCCCGCCGCCCACGCTCTGCCCCGCACTGTGGCATCTGGTGGCACTGGTGGCCCTGGTGGCATCCTCAGGCCGGGCAGCCCCAGGGCGGGAGCCCCGTTCCCCTGGGAATTCCGCTTTCCTCCCTTGCTCACGCGCGCCCGCCGCCCACCTCTTTGGTTTCCATTCGCAGAAACCATCTGTGTTTGTGGAGATCGACCTGAGAGACCATGCCGAGGAGGTAAAGACGAGGCCCTCATGCGCGCAAAGCCACGCCAGCCACCGGCAAGGTGCCTGCGCGTCTCAGGCCAGGCCTGAGAGCCTTCCCCAGAACTTCCTGTGGCAGGCGTGTGCTGCGGGCAGGCAATTGGGAGGGCCCTGGCGGGGCTCACCCTCACCCTCCCACACCCCAGCCTGCGCCCACACCAGCACCACCAGAGGCGCCAGGGCCTGGGCCAACCTCAGGGTGTCTGTGGGGCCCAGACCTCCCGTGGGGTCGCGTTGGGGTGGGAGTCGGGAGACCTGGTCTTGGCTGGTGAATGGCTCTGCCGGCGAATGTGCAAACAGCTCTTCCCTCTCTGAGCCTCAGTTGGCTCCTCTGTGCGATGGGGATCATGGTAGTATCGAGACTCTAGGTGGTGTTGTGAAGTTCTCAGAACAGTGCCACCAGACGCTTCCGGAAATGGGGGGAAGGGAAATGCCCCCCCCCCAGTGTGACGCCCAACCCAGCGTCACT